CTCTTTTCTCCTGTACTGGGAATGTGCTACTCTCAGGTCAGGTCCATGGAGTCCCCAAAAGACATCTATCGTCTTTCTCCCTACTTCTGGAAGAAGTGACAACTACTGGAAGATGCCTTCTAGTTAAGATTGAGGGGGGTTAAATCTAGGTATCAGCTCTGTTATGTCTTCCCTCTTCTGTCACTGCCTTCACGGTTGCAGATACAGAATGCTCACAATGTTAGATAGAATAATAATAATAATAATAATGATAATAATAATAATGGGGGGGAGAGAAGAGAGAAAAGAATCAGGAAGAAAAAAAAAGAGACTGCTTATCCTATGGAAAACTTCAAAGGCCAAGTCCCATTTCTGTGCTCTTTTGTTTACTTTTCCTGTGATTTTTTTTTTTTTTTTTAATGCCCTTTTTGGAAAGTGAGAGAGCAAGAAAGAAAAGTCACAGAAAAAAGTCACGCCATGAAAAACATCAGGAGTTGGGAAAACTCTCTGGAGGAACGAGGAAAGGGAGGATTTTAAATAAAAGGCAGGCATTAGTAATCTGCCAAAAGTTCCTCTGTTCGTTACGTTTGCCAGCAGAAAGACCAGCTCCTTTTGGTTGTCCATCCCTCTCTGTCAAGCATTCCACATTAAACTGAGGAGCCTGCAAAGTACTTCTGACTCGACGCGGGTATAGCTGTTACCCATGGAAATGCAGAGCATTACCTGCAGTGAAGGTACATGGACTAAGAGCAGAGGCCATGGCCATCCCCAACTTCTGCTAGGGAAGCGGTGCCTACTACAGCTTTGGAGAGGGAAGAGCCCCAGCTAACAGAGCTGGAAGGGTACAAGCTCCCAGCCTAGATACTGGTACGAAAACAAAACTGTTCTAACTGGTAGTTTCACTTGTCGTGGACAGTTTCCCTTTACTTTTGCAAGGGATAGGCTGTATCCTGAACGACTTTTTGCCACTGTAAGGTACTGGCACTCCTGAAGTGGTGCAGGTGGAGCCCAAGGATGGATCTTTCCCCCCCTCCATCATACGAGGAGATGTAAATGGACTAATTCTCTGTGTACATTTAGACAATGCATAGATATTGCTTAAAAACAGTGCCACAGATACGTATGCGTTACCTATGTAGCTGTATCAGACAACCGCTTCTGAGGGAAGCCTGCAGCATGAATATAAAAATCAAGGTATTGTAGCAATAATGCCCTGCATCCAGAAACAATCGTTGTAACTCTGTAATAATTTGATCTAGTTCTGTATATTGTGCGCTTATGATTTTTTTTTTGGGGGGGGGGGGGGGGGGGGATTACAATATACATCTTCCTCTCTTGTCTCCTGTACCATTGCTAGAAGATGCAGTTTTTAGACTTGTAATTTGTCAAAGCCAGGAAAATACAAATCAATAAAGGAAGGAGGGCAGAATTTGGCTAAAGAAAGCACTTCCTTAAGCTACTGAATTTGCAACAGTATATATTCTCAAACACCCTAAATATTGTACCGGATACACTGTAGAGAAGATAGGCTGCACGTTTGTTATACGCGACATGCAATAAAATTCCAATCTAAACATCTCCTTCAATGTGATGCATTATTCCGTTCTATACTACATGTGCCTTTTCCATGTACAAATAGACAAAGAGGATATCCGTAAGAAATACATTCAGAAGAACAAAAAATCTAGAGTCCGAGGAGCTCTATCCTGAAATCCTCGATTCAGGGCTCGATTAAAGAACTAAACTCAGGAGGTGAAATGGAGCCATTTGAGAGAGGGTCCCACCGAACAGGAGGAACAAGCAAACAAACAAACAAACAAAAAAATCCCTGAGCTCCGACTAATCATTCGAGCTGCCAATGAAAGGTGACTTTTAGACAGATGGTCAGGGAAAAGCTGGGTCCGTGGACACAGACGTTAGTGCCCCATCTGTATTTTAGGATCCCAGCTTCAACAAGCCATTACCAACTTTTTTTCTAAGTGACAGAAAGTGAAAGATCTCTGTTCCCACTTTTCTTTTTCTACCGAATCCACCCCACTTCCCCCTTTCCCCCCCCCCCCTCCAAATGAGAATTTGCTGTTTGATATAAGTAAACAGAAACTGTTTGCACTACAACTTTTATGCCGAAAAAAAAGAAAAAAGGAAAAGGAAGCTAGGTAAGTTGGCAAAACAGCAATCGGATTTAAAGGAAGAGTTTTTAAAAAGGGAGAAAAGAACAACACATCAAACTCACTTGGTCTCGTCCCCCTTCCATTCCTGTCCATATTAATTCCAAATTACAATTTGGAGGTAAGGAAACTGCATTTTCCTTTCAATCTATTTTGTTGCTGCCACACATTCTGTGCTTTGCTTCTTTCTCTTTTTTAGCGGGGGGGTGGGGGGGGGGGTGTTGAAAAAAAATTCCCTAATAAAAATAGCAAAACATATCCGAGGCGTTAAGCTCGCTCTCCCCCTTCCTTTGTAAAGAACTCTTTGTTCTCTAGTGAAAATGCTGAAAAAAATCCCCGGGCTCCCTGAAACAAGTGCAAAACACTTAGAGGCTTTTGGGCTGGCGAGGAGCCAGAAACCCTCCCGCTGTCTGGTTAGGAAGAGAGGAAAGAGAGAGCAGAGAGAGCAGAGAGAGAGAGGGAAAAAATTGGAGCTTCCTTTAATAGACATAGGAAGCAGGTCCCCCTTTTTTTTTTTTTTTTCCCTTTTTCCCTGTTTTTTTTGTTGTTTGTTCCCCCCCCCCCAAAACTGGCGGTCAAGCGTTAAGTAACTCCCTGCCTAAATCCACCTGCTGGAAATGAACTCGGCTAACCCCCCCCAGGGGTGCACAAAGAGGAGACACAGTAACACACTCCCGGCTCTTCTCCCAGCCGCCCCCTCCCCGCTGCCCTGCTTCCATTCTCCCTGCTCCCAAGCACACAAATGCCCACGGCTCGCGCTCCCCCTTGCCACCACCAACCCACGTACCAAAATAAACGCTCGCTCCGTCTCCTTAAAGAGCAGGGAGGGGGGAAGAGAAAACAAAAAGGGGGGAAGAAGAAGAAGAAGAAAAAATAATAAAAAAGCTTTTTTTGGTTTTTTTTTTCTTTTTTTTTTTTTTTGTTTTTCTCTCCATCCATCTCGCTTGCGACAGTGATAAGGGGTAGGGAACATCTCATACCTGGTGTGAATGCTAATCAGCCAGGAGTTCTCCTTTTTTCCCCCAAGACGGGGAACTGTTTCCTTCCAAATTTATTAGAACCTCCTCCACTGCCTCTTTGAAAAACCTTCTTTGTCACCCTCTTCCCAAGTCCTGATACTTCTTTAAAAAAAAAAAAAAAAAAAAAAAGAAAAAAAAAGAAAAAAATGGCTTCGGAGCTCCTTCTATTCTTGATATTGATTCTCTCTCTCTCTCTTTCTCCCTCTCTCTTTCTCTCTACCCCCCCCCACCCCCCCACCCCTCCTCCTTTCTCCTGTCTCTGTCTCTTCTGAGTGGTCTATTGATAAGTCCCTAGAGGCACTGGGTCAGCCTGCCCGTAGGAAACCAGACACAATGCACAAATCTCCGAGTGCCATTCTGCCATCAGCAAGCAGACCACGTTTAGGAGAGAGGAAAAAAAAACCCACCACACACACACACGCACACACACACAGTAGAGCAAAAGACAGAGAGAGAGAGAGGGAGAGTGTGAGAAAAAGACTGATTGGAACAGGAGGGAGGGAGGGAGGGAGGGAGCGAGGGAGAGAGAGCGACACTGCCAGTCAGGTTAATCATCCCTACTTTAATTAGCTGTTCGGCTTAGACATAAAACAATTGAATTTGAATGATCTGTCAGTGGGCTCGGCTGAACCAAAGGGGAAATGCGAATATTACAAAAAAGACTGTTGGTGTATTCAGATAAGCTCGCCGGGAAAATCCTCAAAGGATAACTATTAAAACTTACCACCAAACAAAAAAAAGTACAGATTCAAATGGCATTATACTGGGGCCCTCTCCAAAAAGCTGGGAGATCCCTTCCCTCTCTTTTTATCTTGTACACACCACCGAAATAAACGCCCACTGCCTTCAAACTCTACCTGTCCTGTGGGGTGGGGAAGTGACTGCAGGTTTGGCTGCTACTTTGGTTTGGTTAAAGCGAGACCATGTGGCCCTTCAGTTGAACTTTCCTGATGGACCACTGGAACCTTGTGATTCTGGAGCTACACAAACTCCAAGAGCACATCCTTGCCGTGCGTGTCTGCACAGACACAGACAAACCGAGTACCTGCCGGGTACAGACAGGGATGCTGTAAAAAGGCAATGCTGGATATTGGGATAGACTAGTCCCCAAGTCCCATGGGGAGGGGAGAAGTTATACCCCAAAATAGGTGGCAAAGCAATTTATTCCTCCTAGCCTGGGCTGCAAAACAAAGTACAGTTCAAGTGGATGAGTCCTGGTGATACCCAGCACTGTGTGGCAGGCAAAGCAGTGATGTGTGACACTTCTGCAAAGTCTGCTTCTGAAAAGGTGTGGGGCAGGTGGCCTCTCCTCTCAAGAGGGAAGGAAGCAGGTAACACACTTCTGTTAGGGGGAGCTGCCAGCATGTAGAGCCCCCTGACACCACCCTCTGCTGCCCTGCACGAACTTTCCCTTGTCAGATGCTGGGAACCTACTTTGGGTTTCAGGGCACAGGGGCTCCGATGCCCCCTCCCAGGCGAGCAGCAGCAAGGGGGGTGTGTGTGTGATTTTCTTGCGTGAGACAGGTATATTCTCTGTGCTTTAAATACATTTTCTGTATTTCATATAGGGCTGCAGCTACAGCAGCAAATCTATAATTCCTGATCTGCTCCATGAACATCTGTTGTACATAAACTTTCCAATGGGCATGGCTAACCTGCAAGCATCACTCTAAAGCATGGGAAGAAAGTGGAGAAGGAATTCACAATGTGGCTGACTGCTGGCCTTTGAGAGGAAGCACTGGGATTCCCCCTTTGCTTCTCATTTTGGGTACAAATACTTAAGGAAAGAAGAAACAAAAGACAGAAGCTCTACCAACTTCTCCACATTAATTATATCACCTTTTCTACATACATCTCCAGGCAAAGGTAGGACCAGTTATTAAATATGTTTGGCTGTTAATGGGAAGCTGATGGGAGGTATCAGTATTATTCTTTCCTTCTATCACCCTCTGCTCTGGGAAAAGGTGAGTTCCTACCCTTTTTCACCTCTTACAATGCCACATGCTGGATGGCTGTGTCCTATCTGCCCACCAATCCACTGGGGCTTGTTGGCTCAGCACAGATTACAGGAAGAACTAACCAGGGTCAATAGGAGGTGGATGCACTGCAGAAGCAAATGGGACATTGGACTTAATGAGGTCTATTAAATGCTATTTATGAGTCGTCTCCCCAGCCTTCCCAAAATACGAATTGCTCCCATTTGAAATATTATGGGACTGTTGGAGGCAAGACACTCGCAGAGAACAGAAAAGATTTCAGAGAAATACAGTGCCATCAAGGCGTCAACTGCTTTCTAGATAAGGAGCTTTTGTACAGCACAGTGACACAAAGTAGTTTTCTCTTCCCTGGGTCAGTACCAAACTTAACAATCCAGCAGGGTGCAAAACAGCTCTGGGCTATGTTTCTAATGAAATACACAGAGGACCTGACCACTTGATGCAGAGGTTCACAGTGGAAGAAACAGTGTGCAGTCATGTAATTACAGGCTATGGTAATGGTACAAGAGATGCTCAGTAAGGTTGCACAGACAACATTAACTGTGGCATTTCCTAACTTAAGTGCCTGACTCGGTAACATTAACATTACAGTAATGCATTTTCAATATAATTTCTCAAGGTTTTAAAGCCAACTTAAGAATGGAATGCGGTTCCATGCTGCTGCTGATGCTCAGGCGGGTTAGCACCTATGGAGCTGTATGTAGTACAGAACATCACCACTTCAGCCGGCAGCGTCACTGGCAGCACAAGAAAAATGGTGCTTACAAGGTGATCAGCCACTGGAAGAGTGTGAGGATACTTGATTCAGGGGTTTGACGGTGTTTATCTGGCAATGGAAGTGCTGAGAGTCTATGCTCTATGGGAAAAGACACTTTGGTCCTCCAGAACCCAAAACCTGCATCTCTTCTGTTGCTGTTGCTTTTGCTTCCATCCCCTCCGTGTTCAGTTGACTCCATGGACTGCTGTTCCTCCTGTTTCTAGCTTGCTCTCTCTCATGCTGTTCCTCCCTCCCTGCACTACTCCTTGTCAGAGTCTTTTCCCCATCCCATTGCTCTAAAATGAGCATCTCCTCAAACCTCTTCACCTCTTCTCTACCCCAGGCACGGACAGACCCTGAGCACAGAGGAAAGCAAGCTGCTCAGCATGGTGAATTAGGCCATGCGGTGTTCCAGACTGCCTTAACTAGACCACTTCTTGCAAGACTGTTTAAAACTAACTCGGGTATCATAATTTGCAATCCACAGTGTAGACATATCAAAATGTCCTTGTTCTCATTTCCAGTGCTTGCTGCCATAGCAACCCCTGGTCAAAAGGAAATTTCCATTGATATCAGAAGGAGCAGCATTTCACCCAGGTGAGTTTTTACTCTGTGGCACGTATTTTATTAGCATGTGTTCCTGATATGGTAGATCCCCAAATCTCCTATAGTGCTCCATGTAGAAAGCGCTACTGTTAAGTTCTGCTCTCAGTAGGCCCCCTTCTACTACAAGCTTCACAAGTCAAAAGACCTTCTGATTTCTACCTGAATATGAACCAAGAGCAGACCAGGAGTCTAAACAGAAAAGGCCAAGAGCTCCCCCCAAAAAACATACATAATCTTCCCCTCCTGAGATTTTATCATGGATTTTAATTTAGATACATGGTGGTGATCTCCTTCTTTTGCATCACGCCCTCTTGCTTGCGTTTCCTTCACGTAAATCATTGCATGTATCAGGAAGGCTTAGCCAAAGAAGCAAGAATTGCATGCTCAGTCTGATCAGTTGAATGAAGTTTGCTGTTTGTTATGGCAAAGGCAATTAGTGCTGCAGCAAGCTTTCAAGCTCACGTGTATGATACCTGCTCCGTAGGAAGAAAGTGTGGCTACAGCATGGCAACAGATCTTTATGAGAACTGTATCTGGATTTCTCAGTGGCAAATGGCAGGACTGAGTAAAGGAAAAACCACCAGAACTGCTGCTCACTTTCTGCCTTCTACATGCATCACTTAACGCCAGACAAAAGCAAGACACAAAACAACAGAAGACTGTAAAGGACCTGGAAACAGCAAGAGTACTTGCTCCTTTAATGTATATAAAGTACTCTGCAGTGCAACTTGTAACACTCAGGAGGGCTGACATGAGCTGACATTAATGGAAAATCAACAGAACTGGGTAGCACAGAGAGAAATTTGGTTCCTTTGCAATGAAGGAGCTCTGTCTACCTGAAAAAAAAAAAGGCATTTAACTATGTAATCTCAGGATAAGTTATATAAATATATTCCTCTAGATTTATTGGCTTGTCTTCATAAACAGCTGTGAGTCTGTGCTTTCTGTTCAGAGATGTAAACTGGCACAGCATGTTGTAGAGGGTGAATATATGGTTATTATTCAGTACATAAGAAATCGAAGGAAAAGACTGGAAAGTCTGCCTGCTACGGAAATCTACTCCTTGCTTATCTTTTGGGAATGCAATAACTCCTAACTTGCACCACTATGCTTGGTAGATACCTTTGTGTGCTAAGGTAAGTACCATGCATTGCATCTTACCCAGTTCATTTCTGTCATTGATGCAATTTGATTTTCTAGGGCAAGACAAATAAGCTTATTTCCTATTGCACTGATTACCATAATTCCCCAAACAACCAACAAACCACCTCAAACAAAACCAACTATAGCAAATGGCCAGGACTGGTTCCTAAAGCACCTTCTCCTGACACTGTGCAGCTCCCAAGGCAATTCCTTTCAGACATTTGCTGTCAATAGGGAAACATAAAAGGAAACATCAGAGACTCCGTATTTTATTTTCTCTTAGACAATCCAAATATAACGGCCTATTTTGTGGAAGAGCCTCTCTTTTTTTTTTAAAAAAAAAAAAACAACAAAATAGTACAAAATGTTTCATCAATAAGATGTTGAAAAGTGAGCCATGCCCTCATGAGCACCAGTGCAATCCCCTGGCCTTCACTGGAAAAGCAACACTGCAACCTAAGTGAACTCTATAAAACATCTGGTTGAGAAGACACAAGAAGGAAGGCTCCTGCCTTTCTTCCTCTTCAGCTGCACTGGGTGGGAAAGTAACATTCCAAAAGTGTGTTTTCACAATGAATTGAGGAAATCTGAACACTGGTTAAGAAGCGGATTAGTGACTTTTTGCAAGTGATATTTTCTGTATGTTTATATGGATGCTTATTGTAAAGGCCTCAGAAGACTCAAAAACACTGAAAACATTAACTCACCCTCTACCCTCTATCACGATCCATACTGTTGTTACCAGATTGCATCTCTGCTCCAAAATTAAAATGAATTAAACAGCACCGTGTGTTATATTCAGACTATTCTACTCTGTTCTATTCTACTCTGTTCTATTTTATTCTATGATTTTTGAAAGAAGCGTATGTATCTCAGGGTGTCAGGAGGCTTAATTTTCTCTCATACTTTCATGGGAAGACAATTACACTTTTGATGTGAAGAACTTTGAAGCGGACATCTGCCCCACTTCTGTTCTAAATGCTGACGTGAAACATGCTACCTATCCTGCTTGCTAACTTTGGTCCTGTCACACATTCACAAATCTTACCTCCTGCATTTGGAGGTGACAGGTATTGTGCCTCTGCCTCCAGTCTTTCTCATCTAAAGATGTCTTGTTTCTGTAGGCTTCTCCATAGGCTTAATGCTGAGTAAAAATTGTAATTATTGTCATATTGCTCAGTCAGGACAAAACCTCTGTAAGAACAAAAGTACTGCTATCTGTCTGGGGAGTTGTACAGCCTCAGCATGCTAAAACTGTGAGATTCCCCTAAAATCACTCCACTGAGGCCTTCTGGCTTCTCTGTCCAGCCCTTAGTTTTGTTTCGGAGACAGCTGCAAGGTCCCTGCTCTGCACATACCTCTTTCTCTCTTAGACTTGGATATAAATAGAATGGGAAGCCAAAGAGCCAGAAGAGGGTGTAGAGTTCTGCCTCTTTTCTGCAGCAGATATGATTGTCCATCATGCCCTTGGGCTGCATGAAGCCATAAGGAAAGACACAGACAGGGTTGATCTCCACCTCCACTATCCCCACAGAAACAGCCTCAGCTTGCAAGGTGGCTGGAACGAGACTGGCTCAGGAAATGAAGAGTAGTGCATCACTCATTTTTCCTGCCTGTTTGCTCGTAATTGTCCTGCAATACATTTCACTGGTAGTTTTATCATACAGAAAGACAGAAGATCCTTCTGGTTTCTGCACATAATGACTACTTTTTAAATGGCTTGCTATTCATTCTTGGGCAAGCCTCAGTCTCTTGCTCCCTCCCTCAAAGCCCACTGCCTCTCATTCTGGGTTTGTTGTTGTTTTTTTTCTGGTGGGTAGGGTGTCAATTCCATCATTATGTATTCAGACAAAAGGAAAAGAAGTGGCAGAAGAGGTGGCTTTCGTTTTCTTTGGATGAGATTGTGGCCACAATGAAAGAAGTGTCAACAATCTCACTAATTTCATTTTGGCCAATACGACACCTCTTACAGGCTTAAGCTATGCAGCTCCCATGTAGCCCCTAGTACAAATCAACAGAGCCTCTTTTATACTTGTCTTCTAATATTTCTCTCCAGCCTTAGAGGAACAGAGAATTGCTATAGGGCAATGAACTCTTATTTTGCCATTGACATTTGTGCAATCCATCTCCCTGAGTTGAGAGACCTTTTCACAGATTCGGAACCTCACCAGCATATGGAAGAATTAGTATAATTAAGAATTAGACACAGGGTCTCTAAAATGGGAATCGTAACAATGACTAACGTCACAAGAGTGTTTCCAAAATTAATTCATGTAAGTAAAGCACTGACAAGATAAAAATGTAGGAGCTGCCACATCAGATTAGACCACTGCTCCATCCAGTTGAACATCCTCTGAGTAGTGATAAATGCAGGGCAGCAGAACTGGGGTCCCCTCCTGTGAATGAATGGGGTTCAGTTTAAGCATTGCCAGTGCCAGTCTTTGGTTATAACATTATTTTATGACTTAGGGGACATATTTAAGCCCCATATCACACTGCCACTGAATGAAGTGGTCTTGCAAATAGAGGAAAGAACCAGGCACAGCAAGAGTCTGGTACAGTGGCTATACAGCTGTACATTCATTCCTCTGCAGGATAGCTCCAGATCGAGAGTTTCTGCTTATTAATGAAAGGACCTAAAATTATTCTAAAAATCTCAAGTCTCAGAAGTACAGTTATTGAAAAAATGTGCAGTTGGATGTAAGAACTTATAAAATGGGTACGCAGAAGCTCACACAAACGAGCTGCTTAAAAAAGCAACCTCATCCTCATAGGCTCTGGTTTTGAGCAGGGTGAGAGCTGGACCCAGATGACTTAAGGAGATCCTTCCTGATTTTTATCATTTTACAATTCTGTGATTCCACAACTTTTCACTGCAGAGTTCTGTCACTGAACAGGAAGCAACTTGCAGTAAACGTGATTTTAAATGAAAATATTATTAGGGTAGGTTTTGGGATCCAGGACAGAAATCCTAGTTCAAAGCCAGAGAAAGAGGCTGACCCTAGAGCCTGATGAATAAGGGTGTGATGAGGGAGACCTGGAAGGGAGCAGACTCCCACATTCCCTTACCCACTGGAAGAGTGCTGGCCCTTGAGGCATTAGCTCTACTGAGGTGGGTCTTTGGAAAATTCATTTCTGTATGAAAAAGTCACATAGAGTTTCATTTTCATACTCCAAATATTTTCACCACAGGACACTGCTGTTTCCTGGCCAGCTCACCTATGCGACTATGCATTCTGCAAGCACCTGCAAACCTTACATGACTGCTGACATCAGTTGTGACAAAGGTAATGGCAAGTCTTCCTGTCAAATTTCATTATCTGAGATGGTTTGGCACCTTTATTTTCATTCTTACAGATTTTTCACTTTATGGAACAGCCTTATCTGAAAAGTAAAAGGATGCATTTGGAAGTGTTTTTCTTCACTTAAGAGTGGGGTTTTTAAATTTCTTTTTACTTTTGTATTAATCATATAATATTGAATAGAAACAATCCATACAAGGCAAAAACCGGCTGAAAGACGGAGCTATAAGACATTTTTGCCTATGATTCTACTCTATTTTATATTCTACTTTAGGACAGAGTAATGAAAAACAACAAATTTGAAGATAATCTGTGAAAAAAAAAAATCCCTCATAACTGACCAAACCATAAACGAGTCTTACATTACTAGGACTGAATAAAGTATCATCAGTGCTGGGTTATTACATAAGAATATGTTAGTAATGTAGCAGCAGTCTAGTCTTTTAAGATGTGAAAGAGCGTTATCTAACCTTTCCTCAAAGTTCAGGAAGAGGAGCCATATGTCCAAATAATCATTTTCTTGCTGGTGTTTAACATGTCAGTTTTTTCAAGGGGCCTATTTCAAGTTTAAAAAAAAAAAAAAAAGTGTGAAATGCATTTTGATTTTTTTTTTTTTTTTTGGCAAAAGCAGCTCATTTTCAAGCTTGCAAGGAAACAAGAAAAACAAAATCAAAATGTCAAGTAGATTTGCTCTTTGTTGTAATTAATACGCAAGCGCTCACTTGTAGATGGTCCTGAGCCTGAAAACGAGTAGTGTCAGCCTTGGTGCTATTAAAATCGAGTAGTTCTCTGGGAATCAAAGAGCCAAGTGTTCAACCAGTGAAAATCCCCAATGGCCTCAGGCCAGTTTACATCAGCTACGGATCTGACCACAAAGGAAGGGCGGCAGGAAGCCCGAGGACACGCCATGTGCTTGCAGCGTTGGGCTCTACATGCGATGAGACAGCAAAGAAAGATAGGACAGACTCCTTCAGAGCGGGAGGTGGGAAATAATTAACTGAAAATAAGGAAAATGCAAAGCCCTACGCTGCAGACTACATGCACGCTCAGCTTCTGGTCAAGGAAGTTATGTGAGATTTCTCTTTGAGTCGGAGCAATGTAGTGGATAAAAAGGCCCTATCTAGCCAGGGGGGTTTCCCGAGGCCATCGCAGACCAGCTCAACACGCTGTTAAGAAGCTCGTTTTCATGAGAGTTTTTGTTGCATTTGCAACGCTGGCTCCAGGTC